AAATCACTCCTAAAATTCACCTGGAGCAAGAAGAGACCTAGAATAGCAAAGACAGTTCTAAGCAGCAAAGGCAAGGCAGGAGGCATCACAATCCCTGACTTGAAGTTATACTACAAAGCAACCCTAGTAAAATCAACATGGTACTGGAACCAAAACAGAGCCGAAGATCAGTGGAATAGATTACAAGATACAACCACAACTACAAACACACTCAACCACCTTATGTTTGATAAGGAGCCAAACATGTTCGCTGGAAGAACGACAGTCTCTTTAATAAATGGTATTGGAAAAACTGGCTCTCCATATGCCGAAAACTAAAACTAGACCCATGCCTATCACCATGCACTAAAATAAAATCTAAATGGATCAAAGATCTAAATATTAAAATAGAAACACTAAATCTATTGGAAGACAAATTGGGTAAAAACCCTTGAAGACATAGGAGTAGGTAGAGAATTCATGAACAGGACTCAAACCACACGGGAAATACTTCCCAGAGTCAATAATTGACTCTTATTAAAAAGTTTCTGCACATCAAAAGAAATCTCCAGCATAGTGAAAAGAAAACCTACAAACTGGGAAAAAATCTTAGTGAACTGCCCCTCAGACAAAGGACTTCTGTCTAAAACATATAAAGAATTAAAAAAATCAGACCCCCAAAAATTCAAAGACCCAATCCAAAAATGGGCATCTGAGATGAATAAACAATTTTCAGATGAAGAAATACAAATGGCAAATAAATACATGAAAAAATGTTTGCCATCACTGGTCATTAGAGAAATGCAAATTAAAACCACACTGAGATTCCATCTCACTCCTGAAAGAATGGCCAAGATCAAGAAAACCACCAACAAACAATGCTGGAGAGGTGTGGGGAAAAAGGAACTCTCCTGCACTGTTGGTGGGATTGTAGACTAGTACAACCATTGTGGAAGTCATTCTGGAGATTTCTCAGAAAGCTGGGTCTGGAAGCCCCATTGGACCCAACTATTTGACTTCTAGGCATATTCCCAGAAGAACTGAAAGCATCATACCACAGTGATATATGTGCACCTATGTTTACAGCAGCACAATTTGTAATCACCAGATCTTGGAAACAACCCAAGTGTCCATCAACTGAGTAATGGATAAAAAAAGTTGTGGTATTTTTATACAATGGAGTACTATTCAGCTATAAAGAGTGATCACCTTGAGACATTTATAAATAAATGGACACAGCTTGAGACCATACTCATAAGTGAAAAAAATCAAACTCACATGTATAAATACTGAATAGTTTCCCTAGTGTAAGAAATATTAAGAATACAAAAAATTACATGGTAATCATGATTCCCAATCATATTGGTTTGAAGCCATATAATGTTTTCACTCATTAATTGCAAGGGTTTTAACCTGGGTTGTTCGATTTTAGTATCAGTGATAGTACGAATAGCTATTTTGAAGAAAACAACACATCATAAAAGCTAGTGCTGATTTAATATCACCTTGTTTTGAAGTCCCATCAAACTGTTGTACATCGGTTTCCACTGGTTTTAACATGTTGTATCTTACTATATTTTACTATATGCGATAGTATAAACAAAAAATTTTATAGGCAAAGAGATAATACAGAAACCGTTGTTCGTTTCCTGTTAACTGGTTCTAAATACCCTGTAATTCTTTAATTCTCTTGAATGGCTTCACACTGTCTTGATATGCTTGATGCTATAGTATATGAACTTATACTCAAATAATTCAAGGAATTAGGCACTATGGTGACTACTATTATGTTAGATTATCTGGGGGTGAAACACAATGATGCTTAAATTATTCGGTTCTGACCTAAGTTGTTCTGTTACAATGTCCTCTTTTATCTCAATCTCTACCCTTTTCTAAAATTAATCTATTTTTCTTATTTTTTTCAATTAAGGGAAAACTAAATTTAAAAATAGCAGGACATATTATAGTAACTGTCTTGGTTTTCCTATTAACCTGATTTGAACCCCAGTATTGCTCTCCCCATCTTGTTCTGTCTGATTCTACTATATTATATTTTGTTTGATAATATCAAGTTTGAGGGTATAGGCAACCACTTTGAAGGCAGTAGGATTTGCTATGATGCCCATTATGGTTTAACTATTATCTTCTTTTGAAGTCCTGTAAGGTCTCCAGTGTAGGTTTTATTGGTCTTGTACTGTACTGTTTTGATCAATTCTATTATACCTGATGATATAGGCAACTCTTTTTAAAAATAGCAAGAGGCACAATGATAACCATTTTTGATCACCTAGTATTCTATTTTTACATCATGTACTATGCCCATCCTTCTGTTCTAACTGACTCTGTTCTGTTTAGTCACGTAAGGTTTTATTCTCTTCAAAAAAAGTAATAAGAACTGTGGGAGTAAAAAAACCCAAAAAGAGTAATTGTTATTGTAAAAAAGAGAAGAAAGGAAGGTGGTCTAAGGGATATAACTGCATGTATGTTTGAGTGTGTAGGATGGAAAACCATATTACTGAGCTTTTGTTGGATCATTGAACAGAACTGTCTGCAATCTCACTGTATGAATGTTCACTTTATATGCTTTAATTTTATAATTTGGACAACTGTTTCTAAGATGACAATGTGTAGCCTATTAACTAGTGATTTCTTACTGTATATTTTTTTCTTGAAATTCTGTACCCTGTTACTGCTTTGTTTTTTTATTTCCTTTCTTTTTTTCTCTTTAAATAAATAAAAAAATAATACCATTCCTGTCATAGAAATCACCATGGTACATTTAAACTCTTTATGTTTTAGACAGAAGTCCTTTGTCTGAGGGAGAGTTCACTAAGATTTTTTTCCAGTTTGTGGGTTTTCTTTTCACTATGCTGGAGATTTCTTTTGATGTGCAGAAACTTTTTAATAAGAGTCAATTATTGACTCTGGGAAGTATTTCCCGTGTGGTTTGAGTCCTGTTCATGAATTCTCTACCTACTCCTATGTCTTCAAGGGTTTTTACCCAATTTGTCTTCCAATAGATTTAGTGTTTCTATTTTAATATTTAGATCTTTGATCCATTTAGATTTTATTTTAGTGCATGGTGATAGGCATGGGTCTAGTTTTAGTTTTCGGCATATGGAGAGCCAGTTTTTCCAATACCATTTATTAAAGAGACTGTCGTTCTTCCAGCGAACATGTTTGGCTCCTTATCAAACATAAGGTGGTTGAGTGTGTTTGTAGTTGTGGTTGTATCTTGTAATCTATTCCACTGATCTTCGGCTCTGTTTTGGTTCCAGTACCATGTTGATTTTACTAGGGTTGCTTTTGGCTGCCAGTACAGTCCTATGCATGACTCTGGTGAGTGAGACCACTCTGGTTCAGTGAAACTGCCACTGAGCTGAGGAAGGAGATATGAACTGTGTTCCAGTTCTAGCTGATGAAAGTATTAGCTTTCTCCAAGGTGAATTATGAGGAAATTTAGAACCAAATTCTTGAAACCATGTATAGACTATGATATTGTAAGATCAAAGTACTACTTGATTAAATGAGTCAGTTTACACAATACAACCATCCATATAGTTTAAATTGTCAAAAAAATGTTTACAAGGATAGACTGATTGCTAGATTTCCAAATTAGAGTCAACTGTACATTGTCTTTTCACAAAATCCAAAAGGAACAATATAAAAATGTGTAGCCCCTTTAGTTTTGCTGACGAACAGTCTATTAGAAAAGCAGCTATAGGTTTCTCCCTATAGTCTGAAACAACAAGAGTCACAAGTGTCATGACTCCACCTGGAAGCAATTTTTTGTCAGAGCATCAGTTGCTTCTCTAGGAAGTGGAACCATTGAGCTTCCTGAAGACAGCGTTGGTAGCAGACTTCAGTTGTGACCTTTTTCTTCAGTTGCCCATCCTGTGCTTCAACATATTTCTGCTGAGACCCAGTCTTCTGCTGTCCATGAGGGAACCTGGAACTCTGGGACCTCTTGCACCTGACCTAGAACAGAGGGAGAGAGCAACAGTCCATCCTCTGCTATTTGAAGGTCATCTGGGCCAGATGTCGCAACTTAAAAATGCACCCTGAATGCCTGTTTGCAGGTGGGCTAGTGGGACAGCTTCTTCCCAGCTACAATAGAGCAGCCAGGAAAGCACCCCAGTCTCCACATTGTTTGTGCTTGTGACACAGGAGAAAGTGTCCCTGGTGGTGGCTTTCTCCCATTGTCCTGTGTAGGGAGCTGTGCCTCCTGGAGAATCCCATATTCCTTTCCCTAAGCTGGGTGCCTCTTTCTCAGGGACACTGCCCTGCAGACAGAGCCTAGGTCGCAGTAATTCTACCTTCCAGTGTCCCTTTCTGTCCTCCTTCCTTCCCTTGACCGCACACGCTGAAGTCCACAAAGATCGGTCTGTGCTCACCAGTAGCTGTCTGTCATCTTGACCACATAGTGGTTAATCTGACAAAACTAAAACTACCAGAAGGGCGAAGGTCCAGTTCTGAGTCAGTGAGGAAAATATGTACTGGAAAGACATACAGTGATGTCCCCAGAGCAGCAGGAGGTCTGGCTGGTAGACAGGGCCTGAGGAAAGGCCAAAAGGCGGTGGGGGAGGGAGGGTGTCAAGAGGTCAGAGAAATCCTTCTAGACTTAAACAGGATGAACATAGACCCTGCAGGACACAGAGGAAGGTGTCTAATGCCTGGGCCAAGGGCTAGGAGCCAGCTTCCCAAACCACAGCACAGAGAGGGGCCATGGATGCCAGCAGAGAGGGCCCTAAGGGACAGTGTAGATTTCAAGGATTCCTAGGAGGCAAGAGGAAAAACCTGGACAGGAATTCACAGGGGACCTGGACAGTGAGCTCCTGCCGCTGTTGGCCTGAGCTGGGGAGACAGCTAGCCCTGGGAAAGTCACCCAAGTGCTCCACCCCCAACTGGGAGGGGTCAGCTAACCCAAATACTGGTTTGGGTCCTGGACCGGAAGCCCCTGAACCTCCACCCTCCCTACTTCCCAGGTTCACAGAGAAATTTGATCCTCAGGAGTTAGTTCCACCCACTCAGTACTCTGCTAGTCCCTAACTTGCCTTTGGGCAGGAAAAAGAAACTTGTGAGAAATCAAAACTGCACTGCAGAGTTGGTCACAGAGAAGAGCCCACTGTCCAGATTCACGTGTCCTGCTTCAGCACCATGAGCAACACGACCCAGACCTTCTCCCAGGCCCATGTTGGCCTCCCTCCAAACTATGAAAAGATTCAGGAGGAGCATGAAATCGCCGTGCTAGGGGGCACCCATGGTCCGGTTCCCCCAACATCCACTGTGATCAACATCCGCAGCGACACTGCTGTGCCTGACCATGTGGTCTGGTCCCTCTTCAACACGATCTTCATGAACACGTGCTGCCTGGGCTTCATAGCCTTTGCCTTCTCCATAAAGGTGAGTGTCCTGGGTGTGATGCTCTGGGAAGGAGCTGTGAGCCTCAGATTCACCCATCTGAACAGAATCTGTGTGTGTGTGTGTGTGTGTGTGTGTGTGTGTGTGTGTGTGTGTGTGTTTGCAAGACCTGTGTGGGAACTGGGCTATGTGTGGTGTGCAGGTCGCCCTGTGAGCATGAGTGTGCATTGAGGAATCTCCCAGGGCGGGCACAGGGTGGGTGGGCTCCTGGGCATCCTGGGGTCACATTTGTTCCGCTCCTACCCAGAGGAATTCTCCCCACTGTTCACACCAGAAACACCCCATGTCCGGGAGTTGGGGACTTTGTCCCTGGGCTCAGTGGCCAGCACTGGAGCCACCTAAAGTTAGAGTGTGAGAGGGAGTGTCCCCCATCTGAGTGAGGGCAGGGGACTCTGACTGGACAGGGTGAGACGGGGGCCCCCAAGTCAGTGCCCTGGCTCTGCGCTGACTGTCAGGCCCTCACTCTCTGGTTTCCCCCAGTCTAGGGACAGGAAGATGGTGGGCGATGTGATCGGGGCCCAGAGCTACGCCTCCACTGCCAAGTGCCTGAACATCAGCGCCCTGGTCTTGAGCATCATCATGATCATTGTTTTCATCACATTATATGCTGCAACCATCACAGCAATCATCCAAAACTTGTCTCAGTCGAAAATAGATTCTCAGGGTTACTAGTTCTGTTGTGCTCTCCCCTTCACAGCTGCCTGATCCTGGGCTAGGGCCTGCCCTTTGCCCCACTCCCTGACCAACTTCTACAATTGGAATCAATAAAGTGTGTACGTTCTTACTGTGCTGTGACATCTCCTGGGGGGAGGGACATTGCTCATTGTCCCCATCTTGGTCCTGAGATGAGCCCGCCCTCTGTGCAGTGTCCCTGTGAGGACCAGAGGAGGTCTAGAGGTCAGAGGTCTTTGGGTGCCTGCTTTGAGGGGCAGAACAGCTGGCTCCTGGTGGGTTTTCTGCTCGTATGAAACTCGCCAAGTCATCATGGCAGTGGTCCAACATAGCAAAGGACCCAGAGACTGTTGTCTCATATCGATTTCCTCTTTCTTCTCCCCTCAGCCCACAACAAATTTCCTCTTCCCTTGCACACACCAATGCTCCCCTAGTCAGCTGCTAGTATGTCACCTTGTCAGCCTCCCGAAACTCCATCCCAATCCAATCTCATAAAAACCCAACCACTTCTTTGCCTGGGTCAGAGGAAACTTGCATGTTTCTGTAGCCCTCCCACACTTGCAATAAATGTCTCCTTATCTCCCTCTTTGTCTCTTAACAGTGTTGAAAACAGTATCAGTCCCTGATTCTGGTGGTCTAAGGCTTACATGAAATAAGCAATATCCCACAATATCCAGTGGGAAATACCTGCACCTCTCAAAGCAGTTGGAATGACAAATGAGGCCCTGTCCACAACCCTGCACAACCAACCCTAGATTCTTCTAAGTTCTATATAGACTAAACTCCTCCCTACTTCAGGGCCATTGCCTTTGTGGAATTACCCCACAAATGCTACTTCTTATCTCTTTGGTGCAGTCTTCCATTTGGTGTGGGATAGTTTTGGTTTGGCTTAGCTTGGAAATTTTCCTGTGGCACTGCCTTCTCTGTGTTTGTAACATTGCCCACTCTTCTGGAGTGTGGCTCTTGTGCTCACCATTGCCTGAGGGAGATCTGAAGCCAGAAGTCAGACTTGTGTTCCGTTAGCTGTGCACAGACCCTGGGTCTGAAAAATGATTCCTTGACTGGGCATCCTAGGGGAGGAACTGTCTCTATCCACAAAGGATTTGGGCACTGTGGTGGGGGTGGATCTGTCCATCTGGAAACCATGGTTATACAGGGCCACTAAGGAGTCCACCTGCCTGGCAACACAGGCCAGGGGCTTGTCCTGACATCTTTTACTCTGTGCCAGATCTACCTCCAAAAAACCCACCCAGGTCCCTGCTCCTTGGAATCTTGCAGAGTTCTAGCTCTTGGGTCAGTGGGCAACATGGATTTCATATGGAAACAGTGAATGTACAGGAGTGTGGACTGTCTTCAGTGTCCCATGTGAACCTGAGAAGAAGCTGGCAAGGACAAGCCTAGTGTGACCCACATGGTCTGAGTGCCATGGATATGACAATCCCAATGAGACTGTGCTAAGCCTCAGAGGGCATGTCAGTATCCTCTGGAAAGCTGTGTGGAAAGACCCTGAGTGGTTGCATTGGCCAGACATGGAACTCATGTGCTACAGGGTTGGAGACTGCCTTGTGGAGCCAGCAAAAAAGTTGTGATTTTCTGCATCTGCAAATGTCCAGGAGAGGTCTGTGGCATGGGGAAGGAGAAGATGCTGACCAGATTATACACCCTAGGTGCTAAATTCTGAGCTGCACAATGGGACTTGGGCACATTTGGGCATGGCCAGGACTCCCTAGGATTATGAGGCAGGCATGACCAGGGAATGGACATGAGTTGGGTGCAGCGAGGGCAGTGGATATGGCTGGGTAAGTGGGCAGAATAGGTCAGAAGAAGACTCTGTTTCTAGTGTCTTCCAAGTAGTACACAGGAGCACATAGTATCACTCAGCTTTGGCCAGCAATGTGTCCCAAGAAGACAGATAGGTATGATCCTTAAGGTGTCCAGATTGGATTTAGGCTGAGGGAGGACCTGTTGGTTTGGCAGCTGACCATAATCTGCCCTCTTCTGGTCACTTGGGTGTGGGCTTGGGTGATTTTGCAAATTTCAAGATCTCGTCTCAAAATTAAAATATTAAGAAAAGGTTGGGATGGAGCTCAGCAGGGAGGCTCTTGTTCAGTCCCAATTGCCAAAGGAGAAGAAAGACCTTAGCATCTTTGGGAAGAAAGGAAAGTGTGTGTCAAAGGACAGGTGTGTCAAGACCACACCCGTCTTCCTGGAAGGTGCAATGCCCCATTGCACTGCATCTTTTCCTCTTCCTGCCTGGGGCACCACTCTCAGCAATGGGGAGATCAAGGGGAGTCACCTGTGGTAAGGAGTTCTTAGGATGGTTTGCACTGATCTGTTTCCCCAGAGGAACCAGGAACTAACTGTACTGGCAAGCAGAAACACCAAAACAACACCCAGGATTTGGAAACAGATTTATTTTACATGGATGGCACTGATCGAGATCATTCCCAAAGTATCAGTCCCTGATTCTGGTGGTCTAAGGTTTACATGAAATAAGCAAGCAGGAAGTACAGAGGCAGAATGGCTTATCATTTAGGGACTGATTCTTACAATATGCATCATACTGACCAGCCACACATCACAGTTACCAGCCCTTTCTAAGAAACAAAAGTAACAGAAACTGAAATGGAGCTATTGCCTGGACAATTAACAAAGTGAAGTATACTGGCTTGGCAGGAAGAGATATACGACCCAGCCACATTCCAGCAGTGCCCCACCACCCTGCCCAGCCCCACCCCCACTCTACCCCCACCCCCGGCCTCTGGATCCCCATTTTACTCTGTTCTCATCAGGATCCAACCCCTAGTGCCCTTCAGATCTGGGCAAGACCCCTTTCACTCTCTTTCTCTTTCCAGAATGTTTTCTTCCCAAGCTTTGCAGCAGGGCAGCCCCTGTGCCTGCTGGGATGAGGAGTGGCATGCACATGAGCAGTGGCTCACCTCATCCCTGTCCTTGTCTCAGTGGGAATCAGAGCCACATTGGGTATGGGGGTCCCCAAGTGGCTGCTGAGGAAAAGAGATGTGGCTTCAGCTACCATGGCCCACTCAGGAGGAGCAGATGCTGTCTCAAAGTGGTAAGATCTGGAGAGTATAGTGCATGTACCATCCAGTTCCTCAAATGGCTGCAGAAAACCCATGATAGCTCAAGCAGGACAATGGCTGCCCTGTGGGCACCTGAGAGACTGTGACAAGCCTTGGCCATGGAGACAATGACAGGGAGCAAATAGCTTTGGCATCATGGGTTCAGATGTGGACCTATGATCAGGACTAAAAGGAAACAGAAACAGTCTAGAGAATGGGGTCAGAGTGTTGGGGCAAGTGGTGGCTTTTTAGTCCTGACCTGACAAAGGTACAATTGCAGAATTTTGAGGTGTGAAACCCAATGCATTGCCAGACTCCAGTCATGGTATGGCTGTCTGTGGACAGCTGGTGGGGGGCAGGCACAGTGCAGGGATAGGAGACCTTAAACTGAACAAAGGGCTCCAGAGAAAGAAGCAGAGCAGCTGGTCACTTGACAGGCAGGCATGGAGGCCTGGAGGGACAGGGGTGGAGGGCCTTCAAGGCAAAGGTACAGCACATAGAGGAACTGAGGATGACACTGTGGGACTTTGGCACTGACCTCACTGAAATCAAATAGGACACAAAAAGGATAGTGAGATAGCTGTGCAAATCATATATCAACAGAGCTCACTATGATAACACAGACTTTAGAGAGTCGGGTACTGATCCAGGCTGCTTTCTGTTGCTGTAATAGACTCCCCAAGGCTTATAGACTCAAGAAAAATGGTTTGCAGGGCTTGTGATCTTACAGGCCGCAAGCCCAATGTCAAACAGTCTGGTGGCATGGTCCTTCCGGTGTCATGACCCAGCAAACGGGCAACAGAGCTGACAAAAGTGGACACTAAAGGAGTCAAACACCAGGGAACCTCTAGTACCCTGTTCTATGGCAGCAAGGATCCAGGTTGGAGGAGGAGAAGCCATGCTTACTGCCAATGGGCTCTTCTACCCATGGACCAGGCGTCAGAAGCAGGAACAGGTGCCTGCCACCCTGACCTCGATGGTGGGGCTGCAGAAAAGCTAAAGCCATAGCAAGGTGTCCCTCACTCTGGAAATCAGAGTGACCACTGCAATGACCTGAGCAAGCTCCTCCATCAAACACAGAGTATGGAGACAAAAAGGGGTTTTCATCATTACCCCAGAGTACCTGGGTGGAGGAGACACAAACCCAACACAAAAACATCCACATTCTGTGTCCTCCTAGGACCACAGGGAATCTTGTGGGCATCTGGTGGCCCTGCTAGGACTGCAGGATATCTGGTAATCCTAGTATTTCATGGGGTGTCTGGTGCCCCTAGTGTGATCACAGGGGCACCTGGTGGTTCTGGTGTGACCACAGGGTATCTAGTTCTCTTGATATGAATGAAAGGTATCTATTGAAACTAGTGTGACCATAGATATCTGGTGGCCCTGGTATGCCCAAGGTGTCTGGTGGCCTTGGTGTGACTCTAGCATGCCTGAGTATCTTTAGTGTCCATCTGGACCAACTTCCTGGTGGCCTCTGTGTGACCACAGCATGCCTGATGGCCTCCTCTTATCACTTGGGAAGTTGAAAGTGTTGAAGGATTTCTCTCCAGGACCCAGGAATGAGAGGGCACCTCTGTGGCTCACTAACCCTACATCATTCCCATCCCCTGGCATGTTAAACTTACAGCCTGTCCCCATGGACTCAGTGAGCACACCACCCTGCATGGCCTCTGATGATGCCTACTTATCCTCCACCCCCACCCCAGGCTTCTGTGGGCTCTGTCATGGCCCTGGAGTCCCCCCAAAGACTTCCTACATCTGCATTTTATAAATAGTATCTTTTGAAGAATCTTACCTGTTAATTCATATTTATTGGAGTAGTTTTTCTGCAATGACTTATTTCTGTATAATTTTCACTTTTATTGTTTGTTGTAATTTTATTTTTTCTCTTTTGCCAATTTTTAAGGCATGGATTTTTTAAATAACTTTTTATTAAAGACCTGTACAAATTTTAATATAACTTGAATATATCTTTTGTCACCTATATATTATTTTTCCAGGGCTTTTTGTTTCTCTTTGTACTTTTTTG